CGCGAGGCCACACGTGTCCACTCACCGGCAAAGGCTTGTATCCGCTTTGCCAATCTGGATGCTTCGGTGTTGTCAAAATATGGCTTGCGGGGTCCAATGCACCGAGCATGATTTAGTGTGGCGAGTTGCGTATCCTTGGCAGTGTCGAGTGCTTGATGAAAACGGTTGAGTCGAGTGAGACTCGATCGGCCGACCTTGGGAGGCAGTCTCTGGGTAGTGTTGTGTTGTGTACCAGTTTAGGGTGCAATACGAGCGGGTTTCAGCTGCGACCTTGCTGCGAGGGGCCGCACCCTGTGTATACGAAGTAGGAGGCTCCGTAAGAAGCGATAGCCAAGTAGCGGAGATACCCTGACCTGTGGCAAGGAGGGCGGGGCTATATGTGTGGGTGAGCGCGGGTGCTGACAGCCGGTGGCACTGGCTGGAAGCGCGGGATGCGCGGTGTAGGGGGGTAATCGTTTGTGTGCGTTCAAAAAGCGCATTTTGTTGCATTTGGGTTTGAGTCGGATTAGCCCGTCAGTTTGCCCGAGTGGTCTAAGGGGTTACGTTCAGGTCGTAATGTTTTCGAACGCGTAGGTTCAAATCCCACAGCTGACATATCCTTTTGCTGGCGAACATTAACGATCGTTGCAGTGTCTATAGCGTGCGCACGCGCCTCCTCTGCGATGAAACGGGTGTGTATGTGTTCCTCAGAGCGCTGCACACCATTGCAGTCAATCGAGCATCGATCGCGAGGCCACACGTGTCCACTCACCGGCAAAGGCTTGTATCCGCTTTGCCAATCTGGATGCTTCGGTGTTGTCAAAAATATGGCTTGCGGGGGTCCAATGCACCGAGCATGATTTAGTGTGGCCGAGTTGCGTATCCTTGGCAGTGTCGAGTGCTTGATGAAAACGGTTGAAGTCGAGTGAGACTCGATCCGCCCGATCTTGGGAGGCAGTCTCTGGGTAGTGTTGTGTTGTGTACCAGTTTAAGGGTGCAATACGGAGCGGGTTCCAGCTGCGGCCTTGCTGCGAGGGCCCCGCAGCCTTGTGTATACGAAGTAGGAAGGCTCGGTTAAGAAGCAGTAGCAAGGTAGCGGAGATACCCTGACCTGTGGCAAGTAGTGCGGGGCTATGTGTGTGGTGGGCGGGTGTGCTGACGGCGTTGGCACTGCTGGAGCGCGGGATGCGCGTGTAGTGTGTTTATCGTTTGTGTGCGTTTAAAAAGCGCATTTTGTTGTTTATGGTTTTGAGTCGGATTAGCCCGTCAGTTTGCCCGAGTGGTCTAAAGGGTTACGTTCAGGTCGTAATGTTTTCGAACGCGTGGGTTCAAATCCCACAGCTGACATATCCTTTTGCTGGCGAACATTAACGATCGTTGCAGTGTCTATAGCGTGCGCACGCGCCCTCCTCTGCGATGAAACGGGTGTGTATGTGTTCTTCAGAGCGCTGCACACCATTGCAGTCAATCGAGCATCGATCGCGAGGGCACACGTGTCCACTCACCGGCAAAAGGCTTGTATCCGCTTTGCCAATCTGGATGCTTCGGTGTTGTCAAAATATGGCTTTGCGGGGTCCAATGCACCGAGCATGATTTAGTGTGGCGAGTTGCGTATCCCTTGGCAGTGTCGAGTGCTTGATGAAAACCGGTTGAGTCGAGTGAGACTCGATCCGGCCGACCCTTTGGAGGCCAGCTCCTGGGTAGTGGTGGTGTTGTGTACCAGTTTAGGGTGCAAATACGAGCGGTGTTCCAGCTGCGGCCTTGCTGCGAGGGCCCCGCAGCCTGTGTATTACGAAGTAGGAGGCTCGGTAAGAAGCAGTAGCAAGTAGCGGAGATACCCTGACCTGTGGCAAGTAGATGCGGGGCTATGTGTGTGGTGAGCGGGGTGTGCTGACGGCGTCTGGCACTGCTGGAGCGGGGGCATGCGCGCGTGTAGTGTGTTTATCGTTTGTGTGCGTTTAAAAAGCAGCATTTTGTTGTTTTTGGCGTTTTGAGTCGGATTTAGCCCGTCAGTTTGCCCCGAGTGGGTCTAAGGGGTTCAACGTTTCAGGTCGTAAATGTTTTCGAAACGCGTGGGGTTCAAAATTCCCACAGCTGACATAATCCCTTTTGCTGGCGAACATTAACGATCCGTTGCAGTGTCTATAAGCGTGCGCACGCGCCCTCCTCTGCGATGAAACGGGTGTGTATGTGTTCCCTCAGAGCGCTGCACACCATTGCAGTCAATCGAGCATCGATCGCGAGGCCACACGTGTCCAACTCACCGGCAAAGGCTTGTATCCGCTTTGCCAATCTGGATGCTTCGGTGTTGTCAAAATATGGCTTGCGGGGTCCAATGCCACCGAGCATGATTTAGTGTGGCGAAGTTGCGTATTCCTTGGCAGTGTCGAAGTGCTTGATGAAAACGGTTGAGTCGAGTGAGACTCGATCGGCCCGACCTTGGGGAGGCAGTCTCTGGGTAGTGTTGTGTTGTGTACCAGTTTCGGGGAGCAATACGAGCGGTTTCCAGCTGCGGCCTTGCTGCGAGGGCCCGCAGCCTGTGTATACGAAGTAGGAGGCTCGGTAAGAAGCAGTAGCAAGTAGCGGCGATACCCTGACCTGTGGCAAGTAATGCGGGGCTATGTGTGTGGTGAGCGGGTGTGCTGACGGCGTTGGCACTGCTGGAGCGGGGGATGCGCGTGTAGTGTGTTTATCGTTTGTGTGCGTTTAAAAAGCGCATTTTGTTGTTTTTGGTTTTGAGTCGGATTAGCCCGTCAGTTTGCCCGAGTGGTCTAAGGGGTTACGTTCAGGTCGTAATGTTTTCGAACGCGTGGGTTCAAATCCCACAGCTGACATATCCTTTTGCTGGCGAACATTAACGATCGTTGCAGTGTCTATAGCGTGCGCACGCGCCTCCTCTGCGATGAAACGGGTGTGTATGTGTTCCTCAGAGCGCTGCACACCATTGCAGTCAATCGAGCATCGATCGCGAGGCCACACGTGTCCACTCACCGGCAAAGGCTTGTATCCGCTTTGCCAATCTGGATGCTTCGGTGTTGTCAAAATATGGCTTGCGGGGTTCAATGCACCGAGCATGATTTAGTGTGGCGAGTTGCGTATCCTTGGCAGTGTCGAGTGCTTGATGAAAACGGTTGAGTCGAGTGAGACTCGATCGGCCGACCTTGGGAGGCAGTCTCTGGGTAGTGTTGTGTTGTGTACCAGTTTAGGGTGCAATACGAGCGGGTTCCAGCTGCGGCCTTGCTGTGAGGGCCCGCAGCCTGTGTATACGAAGTAGGAGGCTCGGTAAGAAGCAGTAGCAAGTAGCGGAGATACCCTGACCTGTGGCAAGTAGTGCGGGGCTATGTGTGTGGTGAGCGGGTGTGCTGACGGCGTTGGCACTGCTGGAGCGCGGCATGCGCGTGTAGAGTGTGTATCTCTTGTGTGCGCTTCTAAAACGCACATTGTGGTGTTTTGTGTTTTAGAGTGATTATCCCCCGTCATTGTGCCCGTGTGCTAAAGGGGTATAATCTCAGGGTGTTATTTTTTTTAGAACGCGTGGGGTTCATCTCCCACAGCATGACATATCCTTTTTGCTGGCGAGCATCTAATCGATCGTTGCAGTGTCTATAGCGTGCGCACGCGCCTCCCTCTGCGATGAAACGGGTGTGTATGTGTTCCTCAGAGCGCTGCACACCATTGCAGTCAATCGAGCATCGATCGCGAGGCTCACACGTGTCCACTCACCGGCAAAGGCTTGTATCCGCTTTGCCAATCTGGATGCTTCGGTGTTGTCAAAATATGGCTTGTGGGGTCCAATGCACCGAGCATGATTTAGTGTGGCGAGTTGCGTATCCTTGGTCAGTGTCGAGTGCTTGATGAAAACGGTTGAGTCGAGTGAGACTCGATCGGCCCGACCTTCGGGAGGCAGTCTCTGGGGTAGTGTTGTGTTGTGTACCAGTTTAGGGTGCAATACGAGCGGGTTTCCAGCTGCGGGCCTTGCTGCGAGGGGCCCGGCAGCCTGTGTATACGAAGTAGGAGGCTCGGTAAGAAGCAGTAGCAAGTAGCGGAGATACCCTGACCTGTGGCAAGTAGTGCGGGGCTATGTGTGTGGTGAGCGGGTGTGCTGACGGCGTTGGCACTGCTGGAGCGCGGGATGCGCGTGTAGTGTGTTTATCGTTTGTGTGCGTTTAAAAAGCGCATTCTGTTGTTTGTGGTTTTGAGTCGGATTAGCCCGTCAGTTTGCCCGTCTAAGGGGTCACGTTCAGGTCGTAATGTTTTCGAACGCGTGGGTTTAAATCCCACAGCTGACATATCCTTTTGCTGGCGAACATTAACGATCGTTGCAGTGTCTATAGCGTGCGCACGCGCCTCCTCTGCGATGAAACGGGTGTGTATGTGTTCCTCAGAGCGCTGCACACCATTGCAGTCAATCGAGCATCGATCGCGAGGCCACACGTGTCCACTCACCGGCAAAGGCTTGTATCCGCTTTGCCAATCTGGATGCTTCGGTGTTGTCAAAATATGGCTTGCGGGGTTCAATGCACCGAGCATGATTTAGTGTGGCGAGTTGCGTATCCTTGGCAGTGTCGAGTGCTTGATGAAAACGGTTGAGTCGAGTGAGACTCGATCGGCCGACCTTGGGAGGCAGTCTCTGGGTAGTGTTGTGTTGTGTACCAGTTTAGGGTGCAATATGAGCGGGTTTCAGCTGCGACCTTGCTGTGAGGGCCCGCAGCCTGTGTATACGAAGAAGGAGGCTCGGTGAGAAGCAGTAGCAAGTAGCGGAGATACCCTGACCTGTGGCAAGTAGTGCGGGGCTATGTGTGTGGTGGGCGGGTGTGCTGACGGCGTTGGCACTGCTGGAGCACGACATGCGCGTGTGTAGTGTGTTTATCGTTTGTGTGCGTTTAAAAAGCGCATTTTGTTGTTTTTGGTTTTGAGTCGGATTAGCCCGTCAGTTTGCCCGAGTGGTCTAGAGTGTTTATCGTTTGTGTGCGTTTAAAAAGCGCATTTTGTTGTTTTTGGTTTTGAGTCGGATTAGCCCCGTCAGTTTGCCCGTCTAAGGGGTCCCGTTCAGGTCGTAATGTTTTCGAACGCGTGGGTTCAAATCCCACAGCTGACATATCCTTTTGCTGGCGAACATTAACGATCGTTGCAGTGTCTATAGCGTGCGCACGCGCCTCCTCTGCGATGAAACGGGTGTGTATGTGTTCCTCAGAGCGCTGCACACCATTGCAGTCAATCGAGCATCGATCGCGAGGCCACACGTGTCCACTCACCGGCAAAGGCTTGTATCCGCTTTGCCAATCTGGATGCTTCGGTGTTGTCAAAATATGGCTTGCGGGGTCCAATGCACCGAGCATGATTTAGTGTGGCGAGTTGCGTATCCTTGGCAGTGTCGAGTGCTTGATGAAAACGGTTGAGTCGAGTGAGACTCGATCGGCCGACCTTGGGAGGCAGTCTCTGGGTAGTGTTGTGTTGTGTACCAGTTTAGGGTGCAATACGAGCGGGTTCCAGCTGCGACCTTGCTGCGAGGGCCCGCAGCCTGTGTATACGAAGTAGGAGGCTCGGTAAGAAGCAGTAGCAAGTAGCGGAGATACCCTGACCTGTGGCAAGTAGTGCGGGGCTATGTGTGTGGTGAGCGGGTGTGCTGACGGCGTTGGCACTGCTGGAGCGCGGCATGTGCTTGTGTAGTGTGTTTATCGTTTGTGTGCGATTAAAAAGCGCATTTTGTTGTTTTTGGTTTTGAGTCGGATTAGCCCGTCAGTTTGCCCGTCTAAGGGGTCCCGTTCAGGTCGTAATGTTTTCGAACGCGTGGGTTCAATTCCCACGCCTGACATATCCTTTGCCTGGCGCCCACTAACGATCGTGCAGTGTCTATAGCGTGCGCACGCGCCTCCTCTGCGATGAAACGGGTGTGTATGTGTTCCTCAGAGCGCTGCACACCATTGCAGTCAATCGAGCATCGATCGCGAGGCCACACGTGTCCACTCACCGGCAAAGGCTTGTATCCGCTTTGCCAATCTGGCGGCTTCGGTGTTGTCAAAATATGGTTTGCGGGGTCCAACGCACCGAGCATGATTTAGTGTGGCGAGTTGCGTATCCTTGGCAGTGTCGAGTGCTTGATGAAAACGGTTGAGTCGAGTGAGACTCGATCGGCCGACCTTGGGAGGCAGTCTCTGGGTAGTGTTGTGTTGTGTACCAGTTTAGGGTGCAATACGAGCGGGTTCCAGCTGCGACCTTGCTGCGAGGGCCCGCAGCCTGTGTATACGAAGTAGGAGGCTCGGTAAGAAGCAGTAGCAAGTAGCGGCGATACCCTGACCTGTGGCAAGTAGTGCGGGGCTATGTGTGTGGTGAGCGGGTGTGCTGACGGCGTTGGCACTGCTGGAGCGCGGCATGCGCGTGTGTAGTGTGTTTATCGTTTGTGTGCGTTTAAAAAGCGCATTTTGTTGTTTTTGGTTTTGAGTCGGATTAGCCCGTCAGTTTGCCCGTCTAAGAGGTCCCGTTCAGGTCGTAATGTTTTCGAACGCGTGGGTTCAAATCCCACAGCTGACATATCCTTTTGCTGGCGAACATTAACGATCGTTGCAGTGTCTATAGCGTGCGCACGCGCCTCCTCTGCGATGAAACGGGTGTGTATGTGTTCCTCAGAGCGCTGCACACCATTGCAGTCAATCGAGCATCGATCGCGAGGCCACACGTGTCCACTCACCGGCAAAGGCTTGTATCCGCTTTGCCAATCTGGATGCTTCGGTGTTGTCAAAATATGGCTTGCGGGGTCCAATGCACCGAGCATGATTTAGTGTGGCGAGTTGCGTATCCTTGGCAGTGTCGAGTGCTTGATGAAAACGGTTGAGTCGAGTGAGACTCGATCGGCCGACCTTGGGAGGCAGTCTCTGGGTAGTGTTGTGCTGTGTACCAGTTTAGGGTGTAATACGAGCGGGTTCCAGCTGCGACCTTGCTGCGAGGGCCCGCAGCCTGTGTATACGAAGTAGGAGGCTCGGTAAGAAGCAGTAGCAAGTAGCGGAGATACCCTGACCTGTGGCATGTAGTGCGGGGCTATGTGTGTGGTGAGCGAGTGTGCTGACGGCGTTGGCACTGCTGGAGCGCGGCATGCGCGTGTGTAGTGTGTTTATCGTTTGTGTGCGTTTAAAAAGCGCATTTTGTTGTTTTTGGTTTTGAGTCGGATTAGCCCGTCAGTTTGCCCGTCTAAGGGGTCCCGTTCAGGTCGTAATGTTTTCGAACGCGTGGGTTCAGATCCCACAGCTGACATATCCTTTTGCTGGCGAACATTAACGATCGTTGCAGTGTCTATAGCGTGCGCACGCGCCTCCTCTGCGATGAAACGGGTGTGTATGTGTTCCTCAGAGCGCTGCACACCATTGCAGTCAATCGAGCATCGATCGCGAGGCCACACGTGTCCACTCACCGGCAAAGGCTTGTATCCGCTTTGCCAATCTGGATGCTTCGGTGTTGTCAAAATATGGCTTGTGGGGTCCAATGCACCGAGCATGATTTAGTGTGGCGAGTTGCGTATCCTTGGCAGTGTCGAGTGCTTGATGAAAACGGTTGAGTCGAGTGAGACTCGATCGGCCGACCTTGGGAGGCAGTCTCTGGGTAGTGTTGTGTTGTGTACCAGTTTAGGGTGCAATACGAGCGGGTTCCAGCTGCGACCTTGCTGCGAGGGCCCGCAGCCTGTGTATACGAAGTAGGAGGCTCGGTAAGAAGCAGTAGCAAGTAGCGGAGATACCCTGACCTGTGGCAAGTAGTGCGGGGCTATGTGTGTGGTGAGCGGGTGTGCTGACGGCGTTGGCACTGCTGGAGCGCGGGATGCGCGTGTAGTGTGTTTATCGTTTGTGTGCGTTCAAAAAGCGCATTTTGTTGTTTTTGGTTTTGAGTCGGATTAGCCCGTCAGTTTGCCCGAGTGGTCTAAGGGGTTACGTTCAGGTCGTAATGTTTTCGAACGCGTGGGTTCAAATCCCACAGCTGACATATCCTTTTGCTGGCGAACATTAACGATCGTTGCAGTGTCTATAGCGTGCGCACGCGCCTCCTCTGCGATGAAACGGGTGTGTATGTGTTCCTCAGAGCGCTGCACACCATTGCAGTCAATCGAGCATCGATCGCGAGGCCACACGTGTCTACTCACCGGCAAAGGCTTGTATCCGCTTTGCCAATCTGGATGCTTCGGTGTTGTCAAAATATGGCTTGCGGGGTCCAACGCACCGAGCATGATTTAGTGTGGCGAGTTGCGTATCCTTGGCAGTGTCGAGTGCTTGATGAAAACGGTTGAGTCGAGTGAGACTCGATCGGCCGACCTTGGGAGGCAGTCTCTGGGTAGTGTTGTGTTGTGTACCAGTTTAGGGTGCAATACGAGCGGGTTTCAGCTGCGGCCTTGCTGCGAGGGCCCGCAGCCTGTGTATACGAAGTAGGAGGCTCGGTAAGAAGCAGTAGCAAGTAGCGGAGATACCCTGACCTGTGGCAAGTAGTGCGGGGCTATGTGTGTGGTGAGCGGGTGTGCTGACGGCGTTGGCACTGCTGGAGCGCGGGATGCGCGTGTAGTGTGTTTATCGTTTGTGTGCGTTTAAAAAGCGCATTTTGTTGTTATTGGTTTTGAGTCGGATTAGCCCGTCAGTTTGCCCGAGTGGTCGAAGGGGTTACGTTCAGGTCGTAATGTTTTCGAACGCGTGGGTTCAAATCCCACAGCTGACATATCCTTTTGCTGGCGAACATTAACGATCGTTGCAGTGTCTATAGCGTGCGCACGCGCCTCCTCTGCGATGAAACGGGTGTGTATGTGTTCCTCAGAGCGCTGCACACCATTGCAGTCAATCGAGCATCGATCGCGAGGCCACACGTGTCCACTCACCGGCAAAGGCTTGTATCCGCTTTGCCAATCTGGATGCTTCGGTGTTGTCAAAATATGGCTTGCGGGGTCCAATGCACCGAGCATGATTTAGTGTGGCGAGTTGCGTATCCTTGGCAGTGTCGAGTGCTTGATGAAAACGGTTGAGTCGAGTGAGACTCGATCGGCCGACCTTGGGAGGCAGTCTCTGGGTAGTGTTGTGTTGTGTACCAGTTTAGGGTGCAATACGAGCGGGTTTCAGCTGCGGCCTTGCTGTGAGGGCCCGCAGCCTGTGTATACGAAGTAGGAGGCTCGGTAAGAAGCAGTAGCAAGTAGCGGAGATACCCTGACCTGTGGCAAGTAGTGCGGGGCTATGTGTGTGGTGAGCGGGTGTGCTGACGGCGTTGGCACTGCTGGAGTGCGGCATGCGCGTGTGTAGTGTGTTTATCGTTTGGGTGCGTTTAAAAAGCGCATTTTGTTGTTTATGGTTTTGAGTCGGATTAGCCCGTCAGTTTGCCCGAGTGGTCTAAGGGGTTACGTTCAGGTCGTAATGTTTTCGAACGCGTGGGTTTAAATCCCACAGCTGACATATCCTTTTGCTGGCGAACATTAACGATCGTTGCAGTGTCTATAGCGTGCGCACGCGCCTCCTCTGCGATGAAACGGGTGTGTATGTGTTCCTCAGAGCGCTGCACACCATTGCAGTCAATCGAGCATCGATCGCGAGGCCACACGTGTCCACTCACCGGCAAATGCTTGTATCCGCTTTGCCAATCTGGATGCTTCGGTGTTGTCAAAATATGGCTTGCGGGGTCCAATGCACCGAGCATGATTTAGTGTGGCGAGTTGCGTATCCTTGGCAGTGTCGAGTGCTTGATGAAAACGGTTGAGTCGAGTGAGACTCGATCGGCCGACCTTGGGAGGCAGTCTCTGGGTAGTGTTGTGTTGTGTACCAGTTTAGGGTGCAATACGAGCGGGTTTCAGCTGCGGCCTTGCTGTGAGGGCCCGCAGCCTGTGTATACGAAGTAGGAGGCTCGGTAAGAAGCAGTAGCAAGTAGCGGAGATACCCTGACCTGTGGCAAGTAGTGCGGGGCTATGTGTGTGGTGGGCGGGTGTGCTGACGGCGTTGGCACTGCTGGAGCACGGCATGCGCGTGTAGAGTGTGTTTATCGTTTGTGTGCGTTTAAAAAGCGCAATTTGTTGTTTTTGGTTTTGAGTCGGATTAGCCCGTCAGTTTGCCCGAGTGGTCTAAGGGGTTACGTTCAGGTCGTAATGTT